GGGGGTCTCTTGGGGGCCTCTTGGGGCTTTCTTGCGGCCTGTTGGGGGCCTCTTGGGGCTCTCTTGGGGGCTTCGTGGGGCTACTTGGGGGCTTGTAGGGGCATTTCGGGGGCGTGTTTGGGCGGGAGGCTCAAAATTTCCGTTCAGGTTGCCCCTGTGGACCTCAATCATGGGGCCGTCTTGGGGCCTCTTGGACCGTCTTGAGGGTTTCTTGGGCCTTCTTGGAGCGCTCTTGGGCCGTCTTTGAGCGGTCTAGAGGGTCTCTCGGGCCGTCTTGGGGTGATCTTGGGGGCCTCTTGGACCGCCTCGAAAGGTGTGAAAGACGAAGAGGCGGATATGTTAAAAATGCACGTTTTCCGAAGGGAATGGGACGATTTTTGCTTGTGGGAGCCCTCTTGGGACGCCGCTTAGGGACCTCTTAGGGACCTCTTGGGGCGTCTTGAAGGCCTGTTGGGCCGTCTTGAGGCCATCGTAGGCGTTTGGGAGTGATATTTCGGCGTCTCCCGGCTCTCTTGGACCGTCTGGAGGGCTTCTCGGGCCCCTCTTGGACCGATTTGGAGCCCTCCTGGGCTCCGAAAAAGAGTTCTTGAGGGTTTCTTGGGCCTTCTTGGAGCGCTCTTGGGCCGTCTTTGAGCGGTCTTGAGGGTCTCTCGGGCCGTCTTGGGGTGATCTTGGGGGCCTCTTGGACCGCCTTGAAAGGTGTGAAAGACGAAGAGGCGGATATGTTAAAAATGCACGTTTTCCTAAGGGAATGGGACGATTTTTGCTTGTGGGAGCCCTCTTGGGGCGCCGCTTAGGGACCTCTTGGGGCGTCTTGAAGGCCTGTTGGGCCGTCTTGAGGCCATCGCAGGCGTTTGGGAGTGATATTTTGGCGTCTCCCGGCTCTCTTGGACCGTCTGGAGGGCTTCTCGGGCCCCTCTTGGACCGTCTGGAGCCCTCCTGGGCTCCGAAAAGGGACCTTGCCAGGACCTTGCCGGGACCTTGCCGGGACCTTGCTGGGACCTTGCCGGGGTACTTTTCGTCCGGGGACCCCCAGGGCCCGCCCCGCGCGCGCGAACTAGAAATATTGTTGAGCAGTTACCGGAGATCTTAGCACGCCTCTGGCCCGTTGGGCCGGCGAATTTTCATCGTTTTCTCGTTTTCTCGCTCCCTGGGGCGTGGTCGTGTTTTCTCGGACCCTGGTCCGTTTTCGCATTTTCTGTGCCTTGGGTCGTGGTCTCGTTTGCTCGGGCTTTGGTTCGTTTTCTCGGTTTCTCGAGTTCTCGGCCCCTTGGTCGTGGTCTCGTTCTCTCGGACCCTGGTTCGTTGTTTCGTTTTCCCGTTTTCTCGACTTTTGCTTTTTCGTGTTGTTTTTACTGGCCCTGGTTCGTGATCTCGTTTTCTTGTTTTCTCGGCCCCTGGGTCGTGGTGTCATTTGTCCTCGGACCCTTGTTAGTTTTCTCGTGTTCTCGGCCCTTGGGACGTGGTCTCGTTTTCTGTGACCCTGGTTAGTTGTTTGTTTTCTCGGCCCCTGGATCGAAGTATCGTTTTCTCGGCCCTTGGTTCGGTGTCTCGTGTTCTCCGTTTCTCGGCCCATGGATTGTGGCTTTGTTTTCTCTGGCCCTAATTCGTTTTCTCGTTTTCTCGTTTTCTCGGCCCCTGGGTCGTGGTCTCGTTTTCTCGGGCCCCGGTTTGTTTTCTCGTTGTCTCGGCCCCTGGGTGGTGGTCTCGGTTTGTCGGGCCCTGGTTCGGTTTCTCGACTTCTCGTTTTCTCGGCCCCTCGGTTTTTGTCTCGTTTTCTCGGCCCCTGGTTCGTTGTCTTGTTTTCTCGTTTTCTCGGCCCCTGGGTCGTGGTCTCGTTTTCTCTGACCCTGATTCGTTGTCTCGTCTTCTTGCTTTATCGTCGCCTGGGTCGTGGTCTTGTTTTCTCGGACTCTGGTTCCTTTTCTCGTTTTCTTGTTTTCTCGGCCCTTCGGTCGTGATCCAGTTTTCTCGGACCCTGGTTTGTTTTATTGTTTTTTGCGTTTTCTCTGCCCCTTGGTCGTGGTCTCGTTTTCTCGGGCACTGGTTTGTTTTCTCGTTTTCTTGTTTTCTCGGCCCCGGGGTCGTGGTCTCGTTTCTCGGGGCCTGGTTCGTTTTCTCGTTTTCTTGGCCCCTGGGTCGTGGTCTCGTTTTCTCGGGGCCTGGTTCGTTTTATAGTTTTCTCGTTTTCTCTGCCCCTGGGTCGTGGTCTCGTTTTCTCTGACCCTGTTTCGTTTACTCGTTCTCTCTGCCCCTGGGTCGTGGTCTCGTTTTCTCTGACCCTGGTTCGTGTTCTCGTTTCTTGTTTTCTCGGCGTCTGGGTCGTGGTCCAGTTTTCTCGGACCCTGGTTCGTTTTCTCGTTTTCTTGTTGTCTCGTCCCCTGGGTCGGACGCTGGTTGTGTTTTCTCGGACGCTGGTGTGTTTTCTCGTTTCCTCGTTTTCTCAGCCCCTGGTTCATAGTCTTGTTTTCTCGGGCCTCGATTCCTTTAATCGTTTTCCCGTTTTCTCGGCCCCTGGGTCGTGGTCTCGTTTTCTAGGACGGATATTCGCGTTTTCTCGGCCTGGGTCGTGGTCTCGTTTGCTCGGACCTTGGTTTGTTTTGTCGTTTTCTCTTGTTCTCGGCCCCTGGGTCGTTATTTCGTTTTCTCGTACCCTTGTTCATTGTCTCGTTTTCTCGTTTTCTCGGTTTCTGCGTTTTCGATTCGTTTTCTCGGGCCCTGGTACGTTTTCTCGTTTTCTCATTTTCTCGGCCCTTGGGTTGTGTTCTCGCTTTCTCGGGCCCCGGTTCGTTCTCTCGTTGTCTCGTTTTCTCTGCCCCTGGGTCGTGGCCTCGTGCACTGGTTTGTTTTCTCGTGGCACTGGTTTGTTTTCTCGTTGTCTCGTGTTGTCGGCCCTGGGTCGTGGTCTCGTTTTATCGGACCCTGGTTTGTTTTCGCGTTTTCGCTGCCCCTGGGTCGTGGCCTCGTTTTCTCGGACGCTGGTTGGTTTCTTGGGACCCTGCTTCGTTTTCGCGTTTTCTCGGCCCCTGGGCCGTCGTCTTCTCGGACCCTGCTTCGTTTCCTCGTTTTCTCGGCCCCTGGGTCGTGGTCTCGTTTTCTCTGACCCTGGGTCGTCGTCGTCGTCGTCGGTCGTCGGTCGCGCGTCGTGCGTCGTCCGTCGCCGTCTTCGCATGACCTCGTCCTCGTCGTGACGACCACGACGAGGTCATGCGAAGACGACGACAATGACGGCGACGGCGGCGACAACGACGACGAGGACGATGACGGCGTCGCACGAAGACGTCGAGCGATGGCGACGGCAACGACGACGGCGACGGGGGTTGCTTTCAGCAGGGGGGGTCCAAGGGGGGGGGGTAGCTAAGCTCCCCCCCCTTTGGAAAGGGAGGGAGGGGGGGGTAGCTTCCGGAGCGTCAAAAGGGGGGAGGGGGGGGGTAGCTTCTGGGGGACAGAAAAAGGAGGGGAGGGGGGGGGGGGGGGGGCAGCTTCCAGCAGTAGCCCCCCTCCTCTTTGGAAAGGGGGGGAGGGGGGGGGTAGCGGAGGGGGGGAGGTAGCTTCCGGGGGGGAGGGGTGGAGGGGGGGGCAGCTTCCAGCAGGGGGGCCCAAGGGGGGGCGCTAGCTAAGGGGGGACCCCCCTCCCCCCTGCGAGTTCCGCGCGCGCGCTCTCTCATGTGTATATATATATATAATATATATATATATATATATATATATATACAGATTCACATCCGGGCGTCGGATACGTTGCACTATCGCCTACGCAAGCCTGCCTCATTCTGGACGTGGATTCCTTGAGCTTCGCGGGGTGTCCAGAGAACTTACGATCAAGTCGTTGTGGGGCCTCCTGGGAGTTTCGTTGGGGCCTCTTTGGGACCTGCTTAGGGGCCTCTTGGGGGCCTCTTGGGGGCCTCTTTGCAGCCTCGTGGGGGCGTCTGGGGCCGTCTTGGGGTGCTTTGGCGCCGCTTGACCCCTTCGGATGCAGTCTTGGGAGGCTCTCCGAGCCGCCTCGGGACCCTCTCAGGACCTCTTGGGAGTCATTTTGACGGTCTTTTGGGGCCTGGCATCTTGGGCAGCCTTGAGGCTCTCTTGCGCCGTCTGGCGCATCTCGGAGACGTCTTGGGGCTCTCTTGTTGTCCTCTTCGGCCGTCTTGGGGGCCTCACCGTCTTGGGGCGCTCTTCGGGCGCTCTTGGGCCATCTTGGGGCGCTCTGGGCCGTCTTGAATTCTTCTTAGGGGTTCCTCTTGGGGCCCTCTTGGACCTTCCCTCTTGGGGGCCTCTTGGGCCGTCATGGGGCTATCTCGGAGGCCTCTGGGGCCATCTTCGGATGTCGGAAACCTGGAACTCAGAAACATATTCGACGCGGAGATCCCCCTGATTAATGAGCGTTTCATCTCCTGGCACTTCCCGCTGGAGCTTCTGGCAGTGAGCATCTGGGTGCGAGAGCGATTCCCAGCGGACGACGGGTACGACGACGACGACAGCGACGACGACGGCAGCCGCTGCGATGGGGGATAGCGACGATGACGACAGCAACTCACAACCAGGGGGCGAGCAGGTCCCCCCCTCGCCTTCCTCGTTCTCCTCGTCGTAACTCCTGTCTGCCCTTCCCGCTTCCTCCCTTTGCCCTCTTCCTGGGTCCACCTCCCTCCTCCTTCGTCCTCTCTCATCCTCTCTGGCGGCCGTCCTTTTTCCTCCTGCTTCCTTCTCCTTCCTTCTCCGAGTCCTTCCTCCTCCCCCTCCGCCTTCTCCGTCCTCCCTCTTCTGCCCCCTATCATGGCGGCCCTCGCCCATCTCCTCCCTCCTCCTCCCTCCTCCTCCTCCTCCTCCTCCTCCTCCTCGCCGTAGCCCCTCTGCAAGGAGAATCGCTCGCGAGGAGAATATGCGGGCAGGCACAAGCGAAGCCGACGGGACTTTTTTGCAGACGAGAGCGTCATATTGATGACATGTGAAAACATGTGGCTGCAGTCATAGACGATCATACCATGGTGGCATGGGTTGTGGAGGATCGGCGTGAAAGTGGACCACGCGGACTCCGAACTGCTCCACCGCTTCCTGGCCCCCGACGGCAACTCCGAGGACCCGGGTCGGCGAAGGGACTGGTCATATGGGGCGCTCCAGAAACGATCAGGAAGGGCCTTGCCTTCGAGGGATCGAGAGGTTGACGTGTCTTCTTCGGTGGAAGCCGGCGGAAGGTCGGCGGAAGTGGGCGGGGGTAATTCTAGCGGCGGATCCACCTGCGGAAGCCTGCGGAGGGCCGGTGGACGCGCCAGCGGAAGCAGGCAGAACCAAGAGTTTCCCACTCAAGAGATGTTTTTGAATGTAGATGTCAGGTGTCGGGGACGAGCCATCTGTTGCAAGACTCTGGTAGCTGTATCTCTGAGACCGGAGACTGAGATCGTGGGGAACCCGTCCTCCGAAACCTCTTTCTCAACCGTTCCGAGCCACGACAGTCAGGGCAGCAACATTGCCGGTGCAAGAGGCAAGTGGCGGGTGCGGTAGACACGCGAGCTGAGGCCGACACCTTTGCCCCCCCCCCCCCCCCACTCCAAACCGGCCGGATCGGGCTCCCGAGGGAAGGGTTTGGTGAGGGGGAGGCATCTCACACGCCGTGACTCCAAGGGGTCGGCGGATGTTGCTCCTCCCGTCCTCCTCCCGCCCTGCTCCCGTCCTCCTTTCGTCCTCCTCCCATCCTCCTCTCGTCCTTCTCCTGTCCTCCTATCTACAACGCTGGCTGATATGCCGATGTCCACCTCTAATTCCTACGGCGAGTCCTATGGATTCCTATTGATTCCTATGAGTCGCTTGCCCTTGCTTGCTTTTGCTTGCTCTTGCTTGCTTGCTCTTGCTTGCTTGCTCTTGCGTGCTTGCTATCGCTTGCTTGCTCTTGCTTGCTCTTGCTTGCTTGCACTTGATCGCTGGCTCTTGCTTGCTTGTTATTGCTCGCTTGCGCATGCTTGCTTCCGCTTGCTTGCGCTTGCTTGATTTTGCTTCTCCCGTCCTCTTCCGGTCCTGGCCTCCTTTCGTCCTCCTCCCATCCTCTTCTTGTCCTCCTCCTGTCCTCGTGTCTAGTTTGAGTCAACGCTGGCTGATATGCGATTTTTTGTTCAAGATATGCGTGCCCTATAAGAGTTCTAACTCAAACCTATTAATTGGTCAGTTGCCCCCCTAATTCCTACGGCCCCCCTAATTCCTATGGCGAGTCCTATGCATTCCTATGTATTATCACGAGTCGCTTGCCCTTGCTTGCTCTTGCCTGGTCTTGCTTGCTTGCTCTTGCGTGCTTACTACCCCGATATCGATTATGGTCTGCTCGATTCGGTTCGGTTCCGATGTTACGGCGGTCCGATGGGTCCCGATGCGTGCATGGCTCCATTGCGCATCTTGGCGCGGCCGATCCGATTCGATTCCGATTCCGGCGGCAGGGGCCTGGAAACTGGCGGCGGCGCCCCCGCTCCCACGAGCTCAAGGCATCTCTGGAGCGCCCGCCGGACAGTCAAGGTCAGCCTCCCGTCGCAGGCGGCGGGCGCTCGAACGGCGAGAAGCGACGCGCGAACAGATTTGTTTCGCCCGCCTGGTGCAGGCCCGCAGGACGCAACTTTGTACAAGGCGTGTGGAGCCGGGGTGCCCTCCCAAGGAAGGCCATGTGGGCCCTGGGCTCACGGGGATCATGGCGGCAGAAGGAGGAGGAGGAGGAGGAGGAGGAGGTGGTGGTGGTGTGTGGTGGTGGTGGTGGTGGTGGTGAGGAGGAGGAGGAGGAGGAGGAGGAGGAGGAGGAGGAGGAGGAGGAGGAGGAAGAGCAGGATGAAGAGAGTTCCCCATTTCCCCGCCTTCTCCACCCATCCCCCCTTCCTCCTGCCGCATCGCTGGCCAGCCACTGGCCGAGTCAGCTGTGCAATCCCTCCTCCTCCGCCCAGCCAGGAAGAGGGGGAGCTGGGCAGCCGTCCCTTCTCTGCCGATCCGATCCGCTCCTGTATTACCAGAAGCATTCCGAGAGGTATTCCGCGACGTAGCATCGTGCAGTGGGGAGAACAAGCAATGATGATCACAAACATGTGTTGCGTCGGCGGACAGGCAAGGTAACTGCGCTGGCGGAAGAGCACTGACAACGGGGATGCCGTTGAAGCGAATTGCGCCACGATGCAGGACACTGGAAGGAAACAGGGAGGGCGGCCGAAGGAGGAGAGAAGGAGCAGGGGCCGCTCAGGGGGACGGGGATGATCACAGGAACAACAAGAATAGCTCCATCGCCCGCGCGGTGGCCCAGGGTTGGCCGCAGGATCTCGCGGGGGACGACCCCGCGGGGGACGCCACCGCGAGCAGCGCGATCTCGCATTGCAGCCTGGGCCGGAACCTGAGCATGTGGGAGCAGTGCGACCTCGCCCTCAAGGCCTTGCAGCCGCGCCACCTGCTGCACCAGCCTCTCACACGTCGTGTATGTATATGTATATATATATACACATATATCTATATATATATAATATATATATATATAATTATATATATATATAGCGAGGGGGCGGAGGAGGGAGGAGAGGAGGAGGAGTTGGAGGAGTTGGAGTTGGAGTTGGAGTTGGAGTTGGAGTTGGAGGAGGAGTTGGAGGAGGAGGAGGAGGAGGAGGAAGAGGAGGAGGAGGAGAAGGAGGAGGAGGAGGAGGAGCCAAGCCTTGCCGTTTTGTGGAATTCTGCCTGCAGGATCCAGCCAGGAGCATCTAGAGGCACCGCTGCTCGTCCTGGGGAGCCTTGGTCGCCACGACTGGATGCTGCCCGAAATTCTCGCCTGAATGCGCATCGGGAGAGGTCCGTTGGAGCAACGGCATCCGTATGGGGGGCAGAGGAGAAGGAGGGGGGGGGGGATCGCGGCGCCGACAGTCGGACCTGTCCCTCCACAGGAGGAAGGCTCCAGAACGGTACGAAAGTGGTCCGGGGGACGCCTTGTGTCAGCACTGTTGTTTCGCCATGGCGGTGGTGCATTTTTGGGGGGCATTTCTAATCTTTCGCCCAGAATCCCCCTGTAGGAGGACCTGTCCGACCTAAGACTGGCCACGCGGGCGGGGGAAACGCCCACCTGCCATCGCCCATCCACCACCGCTCGCGGCCCGGGTGCCCAGGCGCCCCACGCCGCCCGGGAGCGTGCGGTGCCGTTGCCGAGGGCGCATGGCCGATCGATCGGCGACGTGCCACCGATGCCGAGTCAGGATCCGCCCCCCCTCCCTCCTCCTCCTCCTCCTCCTCCTCCCTCCGCCCCCCCTCCCTCCTCCTCCTCCTCCTCCCTCCTCCTCCTCCTCCTCCTCCTCCTCCGCCTCCTCCTCCCCCCCTCCTCCTCCTCCTCCTCCTCTCTCCTCCCCCTCCTCCTCCTCCTCCTCCTCCTCCTCCTCCCTCCCTCCTCCTCCTCCGCCTCCTCACCCTCCTCGCCTCCTCCTCATCCTCCTCCTCCTCTCCTCCTCCCTCCTCTCCTCCTCTCCTCCTCCTCCTCCTCCCTCCTCCTCCTCGCCTCCTCCTCCTCCTCCTCCTCCTCCTCCTCCTCCTCCTCCTCCTCCTCCTCTCCTCCTCCCCCCCTCCTCCTCCTCCTCCTCCTCCCTCCTCCTCCTCCTCCTCCCCTCCTCACCTCCTCCACCTCTCCCCCCGCCTCCTCCTCCTCCTCCTCCACCTCCTCCTCTCCGCCCTCCCTCCTCCTCCTCTTCCCTCCGCCCTCCTCCTCCTCCTCCTCTCCTCCGCCTCCACCTCCTCCTCCTCCTCCTCCTCCTCCTCCTCCTCCTCTTCCTCCTCCTCCTCCCCCTCTTCCTCCTCCCCTACTCCGCCTCCTCCTCTCCTCCTCCCCTCCTCCTCCTCCTCCTCCTCCTCCTCCTCCTCCTCCTCCTCCTCCTCCTCCTCCCCTTTCAGGCGATCGCACACATGGATCCAGGGGGCGTGGATTCGCGACGGGCCCCGCTGCCCATGGGAGGCCGCGGAGGTCTCCGCCGCCGGGCGGGGCGGCACTGGCCGCACTCCGGGGAGGGCACCTCCCCGGATCCATGGATCTGGCCGCCGCGCGCCAGAGCCATGGATCGCCAGTCCATGTCTGCGCGTTCCCGACCCTCAGCCAATTCCCCCCCCATCCCCTCCACCTCCGAGGAGGGTTGGATGGAGTAAAGCGCGTGGCTCGTGCCCAGCGAGGCCGCCCTCCCAGCCCTTTAGAGCCGTCTTGGGCGCGCGCGCGGGCTCCTTCCGCTTCTGTGTCTTCGGGCCGCTTGCCTGCTTTGGCCGCGAGGATGCTGCGCAGTTCGCCGCCGAGAAGAGAGGAGGACGAGGGGCACGACGAGGTCCTCCCCAAGTCCTCCTCCCCGGACCCCCTCGAGTCATGAAACAAACTCGACGGAAGGTGTTTCGCTATTTTCGGCCTCCAGGGGCCCGTGGGCGGGCCCCGGGACCGCCAAACATCCGCTCGGGACGAAAAGCCAGTCCTCCGGAATGGGTAGAGACCTCTCGGGGTCGACGCTCTGGAGAAATCGAGACGGCGGGGGTCTGGGTCCTTCGCCTCCTCTGTCCTCGCTGGGGGCCGCCGGGAGCAGGTGGGAGCAGCGACACCTGACCCCACGGCGGAGGGCGGTGTCCCCCCAGTGCCAAGAAGAGGGCAGTGAAACCCAGGGGGGGGGAAGTCGGAGCAGCTGCAGCAGCTCTATCACAAACGCATGCGTGGTTCGCAAAAAAACAAAAACGGGCTCCTCGCACGTCCTCGCACCGCGAGGGTCGATGCGGCGGCAGCAGCCGCAGCGGAAGCGGCAGCAGCATCAAGCAAAGGGCGCAGGCGCAGGCGCAGGCGAAAGAAGAGGAGGACGCAGACGAGCAGAGGGAGGATGAGGTGGAGGAAGATTTTGAGGACCAGAAATGCAAGGAGTAGTCGGAGGAGCAGGAGGACGATGAGGAAGGGGGTGGAAGATTGTGAGGAGCACGCTCGGAGGACGGGTGGAGGACCAGCAGGGAGGCTGTTGGAAAATGGGGCGGAGCGGGGTGTGATGGAGGAGGAGGAGGAGGAGGAGGAGGAGGAGGAGGAGGAGAGGAGGAGGAGGAGGAGGAGGAGGAGGAGGAGGAGGAAGGGGAGGAGAAGGATGAGGAGGAGGAGGAGGAAGGAGGAGGAGGAGGAGCAGGATTCTGAGACAATTCGCTTCCTGAAGGGGTGGAAGGTCCCCAGCTGGATGGCCTTGGTCGAGCATCCACCTCTGAGGGCGAAATTGCCCGCAGCGAACGTCAGGGAGGAGGAGGAGGAGAAGGAGGAGGAGGAGGAGGCGGAGGAGGAGGAGGAGGAGGAAGAGGAGGAGGAGGATCAAGTACGAGCAACGGCGAAAAGGAGGAGGAGGATGAAGAGGAGGAAGAGAGGAATGGGAGGGGAGCTATCGAGTACCGAGCTCCCTGGCTATCGAATATGCGGGTACACCGTTGGCAGAAATTCCAAGCGGCCGCGCTGACCAGCCTTGCCAGGAAGCTAAGGCCGTTGGAGACTGGCTGAGGCCGTGCAAGAGCAGGAGTAACTGAGGCAGCCGCACCAGCGCCAGGCAGGAGCGTATGTCTGGTCCTCCATGAGAGCCTCAGAGGGTCCCACATATCCTTGCAGTGTGCGGGGGCTCGTCTGGATTTCGTTGGAGCTGGCTGATATTCGCAACAAATTGGGACGACATCTGGACAACATCTGGACGACACGTTTATGATGGGGCCGCGGAGGTCAACACGGGCCCCCCCGCGAAGGCTCGCCCCGGGAGCGGGCAGCAGCCGTCGCTGGGTGCGGGCCCCGCCGCAGAGGCGTCCTGGAAGCGGTTCTGCAAGACGAGCGGCCTCGAAGGCGCGCCTTCCCCTCCCCCCCCCGCGCCGCCCAGGGCGGAAGGGCGAGGGCGGAAGCGGGTGGGAGAGGGGCGAGGACGGGGGAGGAGCGAGAGGAGAACGACGAGGAGGAGGAGGAGAAGGAGGAGGAGGAGGAGGGAGGAGAGGAGGAGGAGGAGGAGGAGGAGGAGGAGGAGGAGAGGCGGAGGAGGAGGAGGAGAAGGAGGGGGAGGAGAAGGATGAGGAGGAGGAGGAGGAGCAGGGAGGAGAGGAGGAGGAGGAGGAGGACCAGTGTAAGCCCAAGAGTCTTCAACGATGTTGGAATACACCCTTCCTCCAAGCTCCCTCTGTATAGGCCCCTATAACGGTGTATTCCCGTTGAGGGAACTGCCTCGTCGGAAGACAACCTTTAAAGACCCGACCGTGAAGTATACATAAACATTGCTCTCGGGATTCCAGCGCCACGGATCAACCTGACTGTTGCGTCTTGACGTTCCTAAATCGCGCAAGAACGCCATTCTTGGGACTTCAACACCGCGAAGCAACGTAACTGCTGAGCCCGTATAATTCTGAATCCTTCCAAACACAATTTCTGGCACGTTGATCATGGGCATCCGTGAAAACTTGCACGGCGCGGCGCGGCGCTAAGGCGAGAGCAACAGTTTGAAAGCCACTCGCCTTTAATTCGTGAAACTGTCGCAATTTGTTAAGACGAATGTGCGCGGCGCTAAGGCGAGAGCCACATTTTGAAAATCACTCGCCCTCAATCCTCGAAGCTCTTGCAAATTGTTAGGGCGAATGCGCGCGGCGCGAAGGGGAGAGCCACATTTTGAAACCGGCCCGCCCTCCATTTGTGAAACGGTTGCTTACTTTTCAAGCTTCAGAGTCATAAGTGGTGAGGAAGTCTTAGGCGAAACGCCCGGCCCGCCCTAAAACTGGCCTCGGGGTGCGACAGTGAGAAATTATGTATAAGGAGAATGAGGAGGAGGAGGAGGAGGAGGAGGAGGAGGAGGGAGAAGATGAGAAGGGGGGAGTAGGATGGTGATGGTGATGGTGATGATGGTGTTGATACCTGGTTTGCTGCTGGTGCTGATTATGATGTTGATATCGATGCTGATGCTACTGGCTATGGTGCCGATGCTGATGCAGACGGCGAAGCTGAAGAGCATGGTGATGATGATGATGTTGATAATGATGAGGATGATGATGATGATGGTGATGATGATGATTATGATGATGATGATGATGATGATGATGATGATGATGATGATGATGATGATAATGATGGCGATGGTGATGGTGATGGTGATGGTGATGGTGGTGGTGGTGATGGTGATGGTGATGGTGATGATGACGATGATGGTCATGGTGATGGAGATGGTGATGAAGACGATCATGATGCTGATGCTGATGATGATGCGGATGAGGATGAGGATGATGATGAGGATGAGGAGGAGGGTGAGGATGAGGATGAGGATGAGGGTGAGGATGAGGATGAGGATGAGGATGAGGATGAGGATGATGATGATGATGATGATGATGATGATGATGATGATGATGATGATGATGATGATGATGATGAACAGGAGGATTATGTTTTTTCATCGTGGACAACAGGCTGCACGAAGCGACTGGCAGGCAGGCTAAAAGCGAACAGTCGCACGCTCAGAGGAGGGAGGTTTGAGCCACAACCGCTCCTAGTCGAAGCAGGCCAGCCCGGCTGCACAAGCCAATCACGATCTATTTGAGGCCTTCACGAGCTCCTGCACCTGCTCGTTGTGAACGTGTGCTGCGAGATCGTGCCATCCTCCAGCTGGAACGTGAGCGCCAACGCATACTGCGACTGGTCCCCGAAGACGAGCCGCATCCGCTGGCAAAGGCCGTGGTCCGAGAGCTGCACCGGCAGGTCCCTGCCATCGCAGGAAACTCCAGCGCCTTCAGGAACCACCTCAGAATCGGCTTCGTCAGTTGCGCCGCCGCGGACAGGAAACTGAAGCAAACCACCAGCGGCAATCCCAAAAGTCGTGTCGACCACGGCTCTTCCTCCATGCGTATGAACAACATCAGCTCCATCGAGAAGATCACAACCAACTTGCACTTCAGACCCCGCGCCAACATACCGAACATCATCTGCTATTTCTTCAACGGCCTCAAGTTCGCCGACGGTCGCCGACGTAATCAAGTCTTGCTCCAACTTCCAAGTGTCCTCCTGCGCCCTCTGTGGCCCTCTGCTTATCTTTTAAATCAGCCTCGGTCTGGGGCGTCCGGAGAGATGCCATGCCGCCGGTGGTGGAGCTGGTGGGCGTGGCGTCTTCCACAGAGGCGTCGTCGGTGTCGACGGTTTCCGCCAACATGGTATCGTTTTCGATTCCGTCAAATCCGAAGGCAGAGGCGGCGGTGTAGGCAAGTTCGGCGTACTCCTGGTCGAAATCGGCCCGATCAGCTTGGCGGCGGAGGAGGGAGTGGATCCAGAGGTTGTACCTACCTAAATCTTCGATGTTGCCAGCACCTCCTCAGCATCTTAAGTCGTACGTAAGGCACGTGAGTAGGTAAGGACCTCGATACATGCAGCTGCTGGGCGCTTTCAGAACATTCGTGGTTGCTGGAGCGAGAGCATGACTCGGAACAAGCACCGCCCTTATTCCGTGCATCTTCTGGCGGGGTCAAGTCTTATGGTAATTGATGCAAAAGAAGTTTGAGCGAGTTCTCCACTTTGAAATGAGCCGCCCTCCATCCTTGTCGGCAAAACGGAATTTCAAAGCTCAAGGCTTATGCTATGGAAGTTTAACGCAGGTGGATCCATCATTGAACATGTGCCGCCCTCCATGCCTGAACCTGTTGGATAGGATCAGGCGATGCTCATGAAACCGATGGATGTGTCAGGCGAGAGCCAGGTTTTGAACGCAAAACGCCCTCCATCCGTGAAGCTGTCAGGAACTCATCAGACGAGGGCGCGCTGAGGCAATCATCATGGTCTCTGGCAGCCGCGGACAGTGCCAGTGGAAGAAATCGGTTGCGACGGAGGGCAAGCACGAATGACATGGACGGTCGGGTCGGGGCTGGTCCAGGGAAACTGGCGGCGGCGGAGCGCTCTTCCGCCCGGGACGCCTCTGGGGACGGGACGGGGCGACGAGAAGCCGCCGGCGGCGAGAGGACCGACGGCGGGCATGGTCGGGCCAAGGCACATGGGCGGCGCAGGAGGGCCACAGGCCATGGCCGGGCACGGCTGGGGGACCGGGCGGGCCGAAGGGAGGACTGCACGGGCGAAGGCCCCTGACGCCACCGGCCGGGGGCGGCCCAGGGGGCGTCGAAGTGCAGGCGCCAGGGGTCGAAGGGGCTCCGCGGCTGCCTGGCCGAGGGGAGGCAGCTCGTCACGGCCGTGCAGCGGCGGCGCTCCGAGAGGGGGAGGAGGAGGAGGAGGAGGAGGAGGAGGAGGAGGAGGAGGAGGAGGAGGAGGAGGAGGAGGAGGAGGAGGAGGAGGCAGGCCTTCTCTCAGAAGGCGGCGTGGCTCCTCGGAATCCCTTCTCTGGCCTTCCGAGAAGCCCTTCGTGGTTTCGGGGGGCAGGCTCTGACAGGCCGCAGGCCTTCTTAGCCCTTTTTGAGGGGCCCGCCCCCTCTGCCTGCCCCCCTTGGACGCGCCGCGTCGTGCAAGCACCCTTTGCAGAGCAGGCACGGCTTACGGTGGTGGCTTTCGTGAATTGATGTGCCCAGGAGGCTTCAGACCCTGGAGGATTCCTTATCTGATGAGGGCAGCGGTGATATCCATCTCCAGGCCTCGATGGGCGTTCCACCGGTTTCCAGACTCTGGCTTCCCTACCCAAGGGTTCCTTATCCAATGGCCTCACCGTATTGACCAGCCAGGCGTGAGTGGCAGTGGCAGTGGCAGCGGCAGCATCCCAAGCCGCAGTACGGTCGGACCGAGGTATAAAGTCGAGGTCGGCTCGGGCAGGGTACCCTCGTGTTCTTTGTGCTTGCCGGATGTTTTTTGTGCATCCTGGGCGAGGGCACCCTCGAATGCTCTTCAGTTTGGGCTGGCGGAGGGTCTCATGCTCTCGAAGGATGTTATTGTGCCCTCGGTCCGGCCGTAGCAGAGGCAGCACTTCCCCGTGCTATCTGATTGCATGCCGTTGCTGCCGCTGGCCGATGGGAGTACATCTGCGCCTCTCCATCGCCAGCGCTGCGTGTATCATCGCCATTCTGGCGATTACGGTCGTCATTGCCGCCATCGCGCGCCGACGGTTGGGCTCGAAGCCGGGATCAAGCCACGGTATCAGACTTCGACCTGGACGACGGCATCTCTACGCCGACACCGAGCTTGGCCAGGCCCATCCTTGGGCCCAGGATCGGTGCCTGCGCTGTCCCGGCTGGACCAGGTGGGTGTATACACCGACCCTGACGCCAGGATGTGCTTGGCCAGCACCGGTGACGATTTTAGCCTCATGGATACCATGTTGTTCTTTTTTGCCATACGGGGGTCCCTGGAAGTGCCGGCCTGTTCCCGAGGGGTAGTCCCGGGGCCCAATGACGGGCCCTGGAGGCCGAAGTCGACGAAACTTGGTCGGGGTGATTAAACAAATGTCATCGGAGAGTTGAGGCATTTGCTTGCCCCACACCGGTGTCGGTTCGACTAGACGTAAGAGTGACATTTCGCCAGAGTGACCTTTGGTGCGGCCACAGATGGGTCCCCAGATGGCTGAAAACGAAGCAGTAGCAGCTGCTTGCGCGCCCAGGTTTGGTCCCCCCGCGGCCCCCAAAAAGTCGCGCACCAAAGGTCACTCTTACCCAGGGTCACTCTTGCGTGTAGCCGATCGGTGCACAGTTGCCGCCGTCCTGTCGACGCATTTCGCGTTCGGCCCGCCTGCTGGCAGTGCGTTCGCGCACGCTTTTGCTCCTCAGACACGAAGCCCGCGATGGCGCCGGGCTCGAGCGCGGCGCACGGGGCCGCAGCGGCAAGCAGGCCAGGGAATGCTTTGGGGGGCGCTTTTTGTCCACGACGAGAGCGTCTCGACTGCACGTAAGCTTGGCATCGCTCGGACGTGTGCATGTTTCCTTCGGCGAGGACCATCGAGGAGGATTCTTGATCATTGGCGAAAAAACCACGCGCGAAACCGAAAAAAACACAGGACATGGACGTCCGAGCGATGGCCAGTAAGAGGGATGCTGGGGGGGCGCTTTTATCCACGACGAGGGCGTCTCGACTGCACGCAAGAGGGATTCAGGAGGGGAAAGATCACACAGACACAATTCATCGGCGACTCCCAGGAAGATATGTGAGACTATGGGAAGTGGGGGGGAAGACAAAAGACCCAGAAAACATGGGAAACTATGGGGGATATGTTTATATGTGTGTATTTACTTGTGTGCCCCAGCTTCCCTTCAGGGATGCTGTGCTGGAGTGACCTTTCGGTGCGGGCCCACAGGGGTCCCCGATCGCCGCGTGCGCTGCGACGAGAGCGGCTCGTGCGTTGGGGCCCTGGGCTTTGGCCCCCCACCGCGTTCCCGGAAGCTGCGCACCAGAGGTCGCTCATTGGCGAGCGCCATGCTTGCGTGCAGGCGAGCGACGAGAGGAGCGCAGCAGAACAGAAGCGGGCACGATGGCGCGGAGATTTAGCCGAAGAGAAGGTGTTCGTTTTCTTACTCCTTGTTTTGCCGATCGGCGCGGGGGCCGCGCCTCCGGCGCCGCCCCTGGCGCGCTCCGCGCGCCAGGGGCGGGGGGTCCAACGCCGATCCGAGAAATCCGCGAGGACCTCCGAGTTTTTATGTGCATGTCATTCTTCGTTCCCCTCTCTTCGTTTCCCAGGGCCGTTGGAGATCTGGGCCCACCGCGGCCACCGCGAGTCGACAGCGAAGGCAAGACGCTCGCCCACGTGGAGTCGCATGGGCTTCGGCGGAGCTCCTGGCGCGAGCGTTCGAGTGCGGAACTCTGGGCGGAAAACGTGGTTGGTCGCGTGCAGTGGGGGCGCGCATCAAGCAACCATCTGCTTTTCGTCATGGTACCCCTTTGGTTTCTTCGGTCCGCGCGCTGCGTGGTGACTTCCCGCGGCCGTCAAAGAAGTAGCTGCTGCGTCCGGGGTGCTCCAGGTTTCCCTTCAGGCGCACGTCGCGCGCGGGTTTTCCGGGTTGGGTTTCTTGCGAGGGTTTCTTGCGACCGCGCCCGCACTGTACGTCCTTTTTGTCAATGGCAGCCGGACCCACATCCAGCAAACCAACCCCTGCCAGTGACGACCCCTTTGCATCGCCCTCCGACGCACGCAGGCGACCGGAGGGGAGCCTCGGTGGCGAGGGGGTCGTCGCAGAGGAAGCTCGCCTCGGAAGGGGTCGGTCAGGCGCGCACGTCTTCCCCAGACACCCGAAGATGTGATTCCCTTGTCGCGCGGCCCCAGAGCCGGCGGCGCGCAGTGGGGGGAAAGCAGAGAGGGTGCCGGCCTCTGCAGAAGGCGACGGGACTCCTCAGAGGCCCTCCCGCCTTCCGAGGAGGCTCCGGAAGCCGAGGCCTCGGAGGCGGCTCGGAGGGCTGGTCAGTCTGCGGGAGGGCTCCCGAGGGGCCCCGTGGCCCTCTGAGGAGGGCTGCCCCCGCTCGCGCCCCCGTCTCGGCGCGCCGCCCTCCCCCCGGCAGGCTCCCGCCCCGCGCACGCGTGTTTGAGGGCCCCCGGGCCCGAGGGCGGCTCGCCGTGGCCAGCAGCGCCCTTTCGCTCCTCGGCGGGCGCTCCTCGAGGCAGCGCTGCGACCGCATCGTTGGAGGAGGAGGAGGAGGAGGGGGGAGGAGAGGAGGAGGAGGAGGAGGAGGGGAGGAGGAGGAGGAGGAGGAGGAGGAGGAGGGAGGAGGAGGAGGGAGGGAGGAGGAGGACGGAGTGCCGCGGCTGACAGCATCGCATCGTCGGATGTCTGGGTCTCCGTGGCCCCGAGAGAGGCCGCAGGCGCCCGCGCGCCCGAGGAGGGGACCCGAGGAGGCACGGGGCCGAAGGCGGGAGGGAGGGGTCGAGGCAGGGGGCGAGGGGGAAGATGCGTGTCATAGCGGACCTGGGACTCCGACAAGGACCCCTGTCGTTTCATGCGCGAGCGGAGAAGGGTAGGTGCGTAATTACATTTGGGGAGGAGGTTGCGGTTTGAGCAGGGCGATGAGCAGGAGGATGAGCATGAGCATGAGGAGGAGGATGAGGAAGAAGGAGGACGAGGACGAGCAGCAGCAGCAGCAGCAGAAGCAGCAGCAGCAGGAGTTGGAGTGGGAGGAGCAGGACGACCAGGGAAGGCCGGAGGAGGGGAACGAAGGGGAGCGACAAGGATGAGGCAGAGCTCGGATCCAGAACAGAAGGCCGCCCAGGGGGAGAGAGCGCCACTCTGAACGACGGGAGCCGAGCGCCGATCCTGAAATGAGGCCCACGCCGCTGCCGCGGGAGCACCACTTCGACCGCACGGCCCCCTGGCCCTTCCAACACTACCTCCTCCTCCTCCTCCTCCTCCTCCTCCTCCTCCCCCTCCTCCTCCTCCTCCTCCTCCTCCTCCTCCTCCTCCTCCTCCTCCTCCTCGTTCACTCCTACGCTCGTCTCCTCCTCTTCCTCCTCCTCCTCGACCTCCTCCTCGAAAGACTGAAAGCTACCCAACTCGGACCAGTCCTGCGTGCATACAAGCATCATGCGCAGAGGGGTCGCGCAGCTCTCGGGACGTCTTCGGGGGAGATCCCGGAGAGTGTTGCGCATACCGTTCAGTTGGCGAAAAGGCGAGGATAACGAATATTTAGGAGGAGACAGTCGAATACTTTAGGAAGAAAAGAAAGAGAAGGCGAGGAGGGAGGCTGCAGGATTCCCGGCTCCCACCCCCCCGAAAGAGAAGAGCCTGGGCGCCAGAGGCGGGGTCACAGCAAGTTGGGGGCGCTGCGAGCGCGGATCTCCACGTTTGGCCATGCCCCCGTTGGGGCGGGGGGCCCTGGCCTGGGCTCTGCAGACGGGGGCAAAGTCAGCGGGGGGCAGATGGAAACCTGTTCAGCTATGCCCCCTTTTCCCAGACCCAAGACGTCCACCTCCAGAGATCTCGACCCATTCTCCCAGGGTCTGGCTTTTCCTTCCGGATTGTTTTCTGTTGATCGCATCCTGGCCAGGTGAGGGCCCTCCGAGGCCGAAGATGGCGAAAAACCATGTGTAGTGATTTTGTTTCATGGTCCGAAGGGGCCTCTCCTCCCTCCTCCCTCCTCCTCCTCCTCCTCCTCCTCCTCCTCCTCCTCCTCTTCCTCCTCCTCCTCCTCCTCCTCCTCTGGATGCAGGGAGGGCCCTGAACCGGAGGCCTCCCAGGTGGGGTCCGAGTGACTAGGTGGGTAGGGTCGGGGGATCGCGCCGCATCGGCGATGCGTCGGCGACGCATCGGCGATGCGTCGGCGATGCATCGGCGACGCATCGGCGGTGTCGGCATGGAGAAAGTCGGGCTCCACAGCGCGCCGCACTGGCGATGCATCGGTGATGCGGCGCGATCCCCCGACGCCGTCGACTCGGAGCCCACTTGGGAGGCCCACCCGGACGAAGAGCACGATGCCCGTCCCCCGCTGGGGGAGCCTTGTCCCTGCTGGTGAGCCCAGCTTCCCTGGGTGGGGATGGGCGCCGTCTCCTTCGGGATCTGAAGCGCCCCAAAGACGGGCACGGATTGCACTGCCAAGGCCTGCAACGTCCAGAGCATCACATCTCCGCTGGGTTGCGACTGCCTCTGCGCTTTCCTCGCAGCCGCAGTGCCTACGGAGGGCAGGCGCTTTCAGGGGGTGCCCTCTCCCCACCTCTGCAGAGGCGGCACGCTGGGAGAGCCAGCTTGCCCTGCCCCGGTGGAGGGCGGGCATGGCTCTGAGGATTGTAAAAAAAACAAAGATTGCAAACAAAAAAACAAAACAAAAAAACAACAAAAAAAGCGAGGGTGGGGGGAGCGAGAATGGCAAGGCCTCCGCAGAGGGCGGCGGGGACTTCTCAGAAGCCCTCGCGCCCTCTGCCTCTGAGAGGTTCTCCGCTGCCCTCGGGGAAGGCCTCAGGACAGCTCTGAGCAGGCCGGGGGACTTCCCCCCAAAGCTCGCCGCCGAGAGGGGAGCCTGGAGCTGAGCCCTGAGCTCTCCTCCCCAAAGCCGCCCAGCTGCCTCGGCGCCCCGTCGCGCCCGCGAAGACGAGGAGGATGGCCGGGATGGCGGGGCTCGCACCGCCCGCGCTCGAGCTGCAGCAGTGTCTCTCGGCCTCTTCGGCGGCGCGCACGGGGAGGAGCAGGAGGAGGAGGAGGACCAGAGTGAACCCAAGAGTCATCGACGATGTTCGAAGAAGCCCTCCCTCCGAACTCACTCTTCACTGGCCCCTGCAACGGTTCATGTCCACTGAGGGAGCTGCCTCGCTGGAAGACAACAGTTTGAAGACTCTGGAGCATGCCAGGACATTTTTCTCGGGGTTCCAACGCCACGGATTAACCTGACTGTTACGTCTTGGCGATGCTGAATCGCGTCAGAACGCCAGTTCTGGGACTCCAACACCGCGAATCAACGTAACTGTTGCGCCCTCATAATCTCGAATCCTTCATAAACGCCATTTCTGGTACGCTGATCATGGGAATCCGAGAAAGTCGTGCAAACCTCAAAAACGAATGTGCGCAGCGCTCAGACAAGAGCCACATGCCGAAAACGGCCCGCCCTCAATCCGTGAAACTCTTGCAAATGTTTGAAACGAATGTGCGCGGCGCCACGGTGAGAGCCACATCAAAAAAAACTGGCCGCCCTCAACCCGTGAAGCTCTCGCAATTGTGTGCAACGAATGTTCGCGGCGCTAAGGCGAGAGCCACATTTTGAAGACGACCAGCACTCCATCTGTGAAAGTGTTGCCAATGTGTCAAGCTCCAGGGTCGTGAATAGTGAGAAAGTCTCAGGCGAAACGCCCGGCCCGTCCTAAACACTTGCTTCGGGTTGCGACAGGGAGAAATGGAATGGAGGAGGAGGAGGACGACGAGGAGGAGAAGGAGGAGAAGGAGGAGGATGAGGAGGAGGAGGGGGGGAGGAGGAAAGGGAGGAGGAGGAGAGGGACGAGGAGGAAGAGAGGAGATCAAGGGGGCCCCAAACGAGGCCCCGGCAGCCCGCCGGCCCCACCCTCCTGGCGCGCCGCGGCGCCAGCCCGAGCGCGGGGCGCCCGCCGCAGAAGCCCCGCGGCGCGCGCCCGCGGCCGGCGGCGGCGCCCGCGGGCTGCGAGGGCGAGCGAGGCGGGACCTCTGCGCCACGAGGCAAGCGCTTGGCATCGCTCGGGCGTGTGCATTTTTCCTTCGGCGGGGACCATCGAGGAGCATCCTTGATCCTTTGGCGAAAAAAAACCCGCACGGAACCGAAAAAAACACAGGGAAGGGACGTCCGAGCGATGGCGCGAGCGGGGCCCGGGGGAAGGGGTCCCGAGGGAAGGCCGCCTCGGGGTGCGCTCCAGCGGCCGTGCCTCGCGGGAGGGGGCGGGGTCCCGAGGGGAGGCAGCCTCGGGGTGCGTTCCAGCGGCTGCGCCTCGCGGGAGGGGGCGGGGCCCAGAGGAGAGGCAGCCTCGGGAGGCGCTCCGGCGGCTGCGCTCGCCGAGGGTGTGTTGCGGGGGTGCCCCGGAGCGTCCCGAACAGCCGCGGGAGAGCCGAGTGCTACGATCCCAGACCCACCAGGCGTCCGAGAGGGGGCGGGGGCGGGCGGGAAGGGGGGGGGGAGGAGGGACGAGGGAGGAGGACGAGGGAGGGGGACGAGGCTCGAGGGGGGAGTGTCGATCGAGCGGCAGCGTGGTTGAGGTCAGCGGGCTCGATCGTCGGAAGAACCCGCGGGCGAGCGCCCCTGACCCAGGCAGGTGCGAGGCAGAAATGTCTTGTCGCGTTGCCTCTTGTCGTCGTGTCTCGTCTGTCTGTCGCCTCCTCTTCCGTTTCCTGTCCTCCCGCGTTGTCGTTTCTGCGCTTTTGGGTTCGTCGTTGCTTCCCCCTCGGCCTCGTCTTCCTCCTCTTCTCCCTCGGTCCCTCGTCGCCCTCCCATGTTTTAAATTAGCCTGGCGAGGGACCCAACCATCTGCTGTTGTTCGGTACGCGGGGGCCGTCTCTTCAAAACGAGGACCCAACATCACAGGATGGTTGGGGAAAAAAGGTGTGGCATCGCACCCGGGACAACAGCGGCCACTGCCGCGATGAAGAGTTGCACGCACCAGTACAGACAAGTACAGCTTGACACCGCTCGGACGTGTACATTTTGCCTTCGTCGAGGCCCTCGAGGAGCATCCTTGATCATGTCGCGAACAAGCCGCGCACGAAACCGAAAAAAGCACAGGGAATGGACGTCCGAGCGATGGCCAGACAGGGCCAGGCGGCCAGGGGCGAGGAGGCAGGAGAGGCTCGACGGCCCGAGGGGGCGTGCGCCAACCCAGCCGCGACGGGGAGGGGAAGCTGCAGGAAGACGAGCGGCATGGCAACGGCAAACCGGCGACGGGGCCAGAGACCAACTGAGAGGCATTAGGCGACCAGCTCGAATGTTGCGAGGGGAGGGGAAGCTGTAGGAAGACGAGCGGCATGGCAACTGCAACTCGGCGACGGGGCCAGAGACCAACTGAGAGGCATTAGTCAGCGAGCGAAGAACGGTATAACATACACTTGTTCGCTGTCGGGGGCGCCTGTCCCTGGGCGGCTGGAGATTTTATACGCCTACGGTGCCACCGTAAGGGTATAAACTTTCCAGCCGCCCAGGGACAGGCGCCCCCGACAGCGAAAAAAGTTTATGTTATACCGCTCTTCGCCCGTTAATTAGGCGACCAGCTCGAATGTTGCCACTGCGTGAGCGGCAGTGAAGCAAAGCATATTGCAATGCAAAGGTGAACGTTCGACATTGAGCCACACGAGGTGGAAAGATGCACCTGAGCGGGGAAAGCCCAAAGCGAAGCAAGGCACCGAGCGTACAGTTTCGAACAGAGCCGCGAGCCTGAGCGACACGAGACCAGAAGCACAAATGAGCAAAGGGGGAGACCCAGAGGGAAGAGCGGGCAGACTGGAAGTCTCTAAATGCAAGGCAGGCTTGGGCATGCTGCGGCGGCACGAGCATCAAATCCGGAATATAGCAGCAGAAGTTTGGAGCAATATAGAGACAAGTGCAATGACGCACGAACTCGAATACGTAATGCCTGATTGAAAGCAAGGCCCTGTCACCGTAGACTTAGGACAACTATGCAATGCAGAAAGCGCAAGCCACAGAGCGAATGCTGCAACATGAGGGGACCGAATGGGGACGACCCACAAGCAGAGAACCTGAACAGACCTACAGCAAGCCAAGTCCAATATTCAAACAAGTAAAACGCAGTTGAAGGAGAGACCTGCAACGAAAGAACAGGCACTGATCAGCGCATGACAAGAGTTGCTGGCCTTGCTACCAGGCGCTGGGAAATTTACGGGAACGCTCATTATTTAAAACCGAACCAGGCAACCTGAGCATGCTTCTCGTGCGGGAGTGTGAACTCGATAGAGCAAGACCGGCATTGACACCTCTTGCCTGCTTTGCACACCTCGGCACTGCGCCAGCGGACATCGTGCGATAGATGCCCACAGTGGCTGGGAGCTTGTTGAGATTGCACTTGAGGCAGTCGGACCAGCCACTATGTACTATGTATTGGCTCGCGAAGCAGGCCTAGACCTACAAGCACACGACTTGCAGCAGGGAGGCTGAACAGAGTCTGAGGCACGCTCGCCTGGCGTTCCCGCTTCCCTTCGGGGCAGCTGGTCGTACAATATCCGGACGCCCCACACGCTTCCCGAGAAGGTACGCTGATCTCGCAGGCCCTCCTTCCTCCGGGGGGGCTGGGCGGACATGCATACTCCGCCCTCTGAGGGGCCCTCCTCGCCCGTAGTGAAGTTCAGGGTTTAGGGTTTAGGGTTTAGGGTTTTGGGTTTAGGGTTTAGGCTCTAGTCTGACCCCCCCACCCACCCACCCGAGGACGACCGTCCCTTAGGGGGGCCCTTCCCTTTTTTCTGGGGAGGGGGGGCGGCAGCATCCTCTGAGGATCCACGCGATGCCCGGCGCCCGCCACAGGAGGGCGACGGGAGGCAGGACGTCCCGACGGCCGACGGGGGGGGGACTCTCCTTGGCGTTCAGGGGTGGTGGGGCCCTCTTTGCCGGCTACACCTTAGGTGATGCTTAAGAAAACCTAAGTTTTCGTCCAGAGTCTCGATTATTCTTAACTTTTCAATGTAAATCCCAAGATTTTGATAGAAGTTCTGGGTTTTATTCAATTTCTGAGACTACGAATTTCTTAACCCATGATTTCTTAAGCATTTCGCAGGGTGTACCGATCAGCCATGATCGAGTTCCGATTCCCGCCCCCTCTCTTGGTGCCCCCCCTCCTCCGCCTCCAGGCCCCTCGAGCCCGAGCCGTCACGACCTGCCCGCCGTGGACGGCCCCGGCGGGGACGTTGTTGGCAAGGGGGCGATCTCGCTCTTGCAGGAGCTCATCCTTCAGAGTGGGCTCGCGGGGGCGAGGTTCGAGATTCAAGATTCGAGATTCGAGGCTCGAAGCCTTTCGGACTGTTTTGTCGGTCACCCGCGGCTGTCCAGCCTCGGGATGCGTTCCAGCGGCTGCGCCTCGCCGTGGGCGTTTTGGGGGCTCGAAAACCAGACGACGAGGTGGGGGGGCCACCTCTTCACGTCTTCAGACATTAACTAGCAAAGCACCCTGGTGGCAGTGGTCGACAGTCAAGTGGATCGGTTGATTGTGGAGTGGATGGGCACCTATTGGGAACCTGCGCTGCAGTCGGCCCGTTATCATCACAAAGGGAAACAGAGCACCCTGATAGCAGCAAAGGTGAGGTGGCGGGGCGAGGAGTAGGCTATATGGGAACACGGGTGAGAGCATGGCCATGTGCACCATGGTACACTTTGTACACTAGGCCGTGGCCGTCCAGACTGACATTGTAGCCGGCATGCCTTGGGGAAGTCTGCGGAGAAACGGCTGCCAGGCAGATCGATATCCGAAGGTGTTTCTGTGCTCCCCGTCTCCACCTTGTGGGGCGTTTCTGCTTCTTATTGACACATCTAATAAAACACTGGAGAGAAACAGATTGAAGGGGAACCGCTCGACGGCGTGTTTGGGCTAGCGGTGTTCGGCTTCTTCTGCCCCTCACCAGGCGGTTGAACCGCCAACAGAAACGACTCGGAACGGCCCCCAGGAATAGGATCCAGACCTCCTGGGGTCCACGTTGTGAACAAAGCAGACGACGTCAGAGCTCCTGGGAGGTCACGTCATGCCGGCGCAAGAGTCGACTACGAAACACTGGCCCAAGGTCCGCGCGGATGATTTTCTGGATCGGCCCTGAGACCCCTTTTGGCGGCGCCTCAGGCGCCGTCCCTGGGGCGCTCCTCTGGCGCGCGAAATTGTGCGTGTGTGTGTGTGTTTGTTTGCAGATTGTTTGCAGCTAGTTTCTTATGGCAAGAGTGCGTCAAGCAAACGTTCGCTTCAGAGCGCGAAGCGGAGTGGACGCATGCGTCCTTCCCCACAAACGGTCATTGAGATAACTTCTCCAGCCAGTTTGACGTTGCGACTGGGAAACGGGGCGATTGAGGAGAAGGGGGAGGGAGGAAGGGCAAGCTAGGTGCGAACGCGCCAGAACCAACATCTTACACCTCCCATCGATCCCTTTACATTGCCCCGATTTGTTTCTCTAGTTTGCGACGCGTGCCATGGCGGACCTTGAACTAGTAAAAAAACATCGAGCCATGCGCAATCAGAGAATGGGACCTGCGTGGACTGGAGGAGAAGAAGGTGCCGAATGGGCAGGAAGATGCGCAGACATCATACAATGAGGATGTGGAAGAAGAAGAGCGGGGTCGAACAGCAGCAGCAGCAGCAGCAGCGGCAGCGGCAGCAGCAGCAGCAGCAGCGGCAGCAGCAGCAGCAGATGATGGAGTGGAAGAAGGAGCAGGAAGTCCAGGCAGAGGCGGAGGAGGGGAAAGGTGGGGGTGACAACGGTGACGAGGAACTCGGATCCAAGAAAGTGGCCCGCGCTGGGGCGAGACCGCCATTATGAACGACGGGAGCAAAACGTCGATCCCCAAGCGAGGCCATGATGCAGCGTGAGTGCCAGCCTACAGCACCGAGGACGCTCCGCTTTCGCACAAGAAAACACACCGAGTTGCACAGTATGGAAGTATTTTGTATCAAGCAGACACGCGCAGAGGGCGGGGCATACCTGTTCGGACTCAGTAAAGACGGGAGACTAGTAGTTATTCTGTGTAACTGTGCAGGATGACGGGTGGACGGAGGGGGAGGAGGATGTGTCAAGCGTCAATGTGGGAAGGAGGGAGGTGGGGAGGAGTAGGAACATCGAACATCTAGTTTGTGGGCTGCTTGTGTGTGGGGGCAGAGAGGGGTGGACAGGTCCAGTAAGTTCAGTGAATCCAGTACGTCGACGTTTTCCTTTTTGTAACTTGCGAGAGTTCATTTACACTCTAGTGCTTTAGAGCGTGTTAGTAAGCTTTCATGCTCGAGTGCGACTTCCCTTCTGGTCCTTCTTGCCGACGCTCAGCATCTGCCTCTTCGTCCTCGTCTGCCATCCCCAGCTGCTCATCGAGTAGTAATGGTCAAGGTTGGCGGCCAGATCTCCCTCTGGGATGTCGTCCAGGTTGGCTTGTGTCGAGTTTTGCAGTGGCCTCGTGGAACACTTGCAGCCTCGCTGGTGCCTTCTTTGGCTCTCAGCACGCTCGCAAGCAGCACTGATTGCAGTTTCACGCAGTTCGAGCGTACGTGTTGTATTGTGCGTGCTCAAGAAGCTCGCGGGACTCTGGAGTATTTCGTCGCTCTGGGGCGCGGGGTTTTCCAGATCGCCAGCATCGCCACGTTCCTTCCGAGCCTCTACCGCAGTGCTGCATCGTGCTCATCAGCCCTCGGACCCGGGAGATCTTGACGAATGCCGCCCACACGTTTATCGCTGGCCGTCGCGCCCACGCAGCCATCATGCAGCCCGACGGCCACGCCCTCCAAGCCAACAGCATGCATGGTGATCCTGGCCACCGTGCCAGTATAAGAAAGATGCTGCACGAGCGCGCCCGCAGATGCTTTCTTCTCTCTGCCTGCGCGCGATGCATCGCTGGCGACGTTAACTTCAGAACCCCAGGTGAGGGCGGCTACTGGGCGGCGGGCAGGATTGCCTAGCCAACTCACAGCCATGCCAGGCACTTCCACGACCTCCCGCTCGCCACAGAGATGGAGCAGTCCCAATTTACTAGCCGCGTTGAGAAGAATATTGATGGTAATTCTGAGGTGGCGTCTTTAGCAGGGCTCGCCAGAAGATATGTTACCCTTCCCGCTGGGTCTGTGTCTAGATTCAGGTCCGAGCTCAGAGGCTAAGGGATGCGTTGCCCACAGTCGATTTCTTTCTGAGCGTGTTCTCGTCTATGCCGCGCTGGCTCTGCGGCCTCTCAGCGGCGCTCCGAAAGTCGCGTAGAGGGTCGCCAAGTGCGAGCTGCGCCCCGAGGTCCTCCGGATCATCCGGGGCGATACGGGCGCGCCCTTATCTTGTCGAGTCGATCGGGAGCGTGCATCAGTGCAGCAATGTATTTCCCCCAAGACAGCAATGGTTTTCCCTCGACGGCGGCGGGCACTGGCACACGTCGGCGAGCCGTTGAGCCGAGGCCCAAACGCATGGTTGAGGGCCAGCGCAGGGGCCGTTAAGAGGGGGGCATCTAAGCGAAAACGTCTGAGGAGTGTTCGGGAAATTCTGGTTTGCAGTTTTTTGGGTGTGCTCATGTTCTGTGCTTTCCATTTTGGGTTATTTGAAGTGTATACCCATGTGGCTTTATTATTTTTTATTGAACTCGAGTACACCAAAGTTCTGCGTCGACAGGCAGCTTCGCTTGGCGGGGCGCCAGACGACTCCTCGGCTCGCCTGGGAGCGCGCCCCTGTGGGTTGCCGCCCCCGTGTTCCCATGCTTGGTGTTTGCCCCTGCGGGGCCTTGTCGTCGGTCGCCAACGATTGATTGGTTCGCCCAGGAATTGATTAGAGTATTCTTGCGAGCCCCCAAAGTGAATGCGTGGGGGCGGTTCGAGCTGCGACCCAGCTGGCGGCGAGATTGCGCAGCAACAGCTTGAGCAGAATGGCGAAACGACGTCGAAATTCATCGACGGGTCGTGCGCAGAGCGTGCTGGCCAGCCAACTTTCAGCGCCGCGCGTCGCGAGCCCGCCCTCGCCCGCGCCCCTTGGTTGACTACATCTGGCTTTCCGGTTGCTTCCTGGCCAGGGGCCAGATTGGCCGGCACATCTTGGACATCCACAGCGACGAAGAAAACATGCGCAGCCAGAAGCAGAAACCGAATGTACATCACATTCCCAGATATCGCCCTGAACGACATACACCAGCAGCGCGCATTTCTCTGCAGGCAGCATCTGCCAGCGTGAAGAGCAGATTCTGAGCACGCGCGGCCGATTGGGGCCAAGTCCACGCCGCCGCCCCCGCCGATCGCCAGTTCCTAGACATTAGGACGCGTTCAGACGGTGCCCGGCGAGATCACGTGGAATCAGGGGGGGGGAGTTTTTGCCCATGGCTAGCAGAACGCATGATCTTCCCGCTGGGCCCAGCGGTTTCCCTTGCATTTGGTAGTCTAAGTTTGGCGCTGCTTGTCCCTGCCCGCTATGCAAAATATGCGAGAAATAGTGGAAGTGGGCAACATCTCCCTGACCGACGGGGTGGAGGAGGGGACTCGCTGCTAGCCGCCCGCAAGCCTTCGGCCACGAAACCGCCCGCGATGTCCAGCGCCGTCGACGATCTAGTCCCGCTCGCCGTCGACCGCCCCCGCAGCCATGAGCGCGCGGCGACGCGTGTCCGTGAACAGCGTGGCTTCGTTCCTGGGTGTAGTATGCTAGCAAATCCGATGGAGCTCGAGTTTACGGCCATGCGCTGGTGCGTTCAAGGGTTCGCCCGCCAGTCCGCGACTTCTGTTTTGCGATGTGCGCCCGCCTCCGCGACTTCTTGAATGAGGCGATGTTCGCCGCGCTGACCGCTATAGACATGCTGTCCGTCGTCGGTCAGAACCGCTGTGTGTACAGGACAGGTTGGGGTTCCATCGCGTTCCGTGGGTATCGTGAAAACATCGGACATTGGGTCGGTCGTGGAAAACCTGGATGTCCAATCAGCGGCTCTCTCTCTCTCTCTCTATCTCCCACTTTCTTTTCCTTTTTTTTTTTTCTCTCTCTCTCTCTCGCATGCTCATAGCCAGTCCATCACAACATAGAAGAAATGCTACCCGCTCACTCCCTGCACCGCAGCGGGCCGCATGGCTTGAGGCCCGCGGGCTGCGCGTCCTCTCTATTTCTCTCTCTCTCTCTCTCTCTTCCTCTGCGGTTGCGGTCGATCCGACCCCGCGCAAAATTCGGTCGCTTCTTCTTCTGCCTTTTCACAGCATGGGCGCATTCGCCGACGACCTGGGAAGTATTCCCGTGGACGTGTTTTCGGCGTTCGCTTTGAGTGTGCACGTGCGGTCTGGGGCTGGTCCTGGGTCTGGCCTGTTCGTCAATGCTGACCAATCACCACTTTCCCTCGTCGGCGGATTGAGCGAGACGGAGTTTAGGCAGGCTGCGCGCGACGCGGGCACCAACGCGCTTCGCTTTTTGGGAGTGCATGCTGGTCCAGACAGTAATTACACGGAATTCTCGGGAGCCAGCTTTCACGAAGTCTTTTCAGCGGGAAAGCTCCTCCGTGGCCTGTAGATTGGACGCCCGAAAGTTGAGGCTCCGAGTAATGTCCGGGCACGCTGTGCCCCCGCCGCCCCGGCTCAGTCCCTCGCGCCCCCGCCCTTTTCCCCGATGGCCTCCAAAGCGGAGCGAGGTTGCTTGCTGGGGCTGGTGGCCGACCCGAACAACGGTTGTTTCCCACCGCGCTGTCCGCCCTCTCACCATCCTCGGCCTCCATTTGAGTGCTAGACGTCTGGACACGACGAGCCGCGTTTCAATGTTCCGAGCTGCCCCCCACCCCCCTTGCTTCCCACGCCGTCAAAGCGGAAATAGATGTTATGGGTTTGCCGAGGATCCCAGGGATGCCGTTGCCTGGGAGTTCTACCCGTGGTGGAAAAGGTCTCTGTTCGAAGGTCGGATCGAAATTTTCCGCGTGTTGCTTGGCATTCCTGGAGTTCCGCTGCATGCATTCCCTTTCACAAGATCAGAAGTCGAGAAGTTGTGGCGTCCTTTTGAGTCTGTGCTTATCCATGAGATTGCGAGGGGGATCCCAGTGGCAATTACTCATGTTTCTAAGCCGCTCTCAGTTTGACTCTGGTTTGAAAGTCTTCTGGAGGGCCTCTCTGCGTGTCCCCCCATCGGTCCTGGCCCCGTCTCTCACAGGATGGTCAATGCTTGGCGCGCGTCTTGCAGATTTAGAAACGCCACCGCCCCGTTCATAGCTTGTGGCCGCCCTGAAAAGCGACTGCATGCAACGCATCATCGGGTGCCCGAGCCTCTGCAGAGCTCGGTCTTCTCCTCCCGCTCCCTCCTTGTTTTTTTTTTCCTCTTGGTCTCCGGGCCCGAGCGTCCGCACATCGATCGCTTCTCCGGCTTCCCACCGACGCGTTCGTCTCTGCTGCTTTTCTCTTCGGCGCATGTTTTCGCGCGTGCCACGCTGGACGGCGCCGCACCAGACCGAACCCGATCGGGGCCGCGCAGGCCCGCCCCCGGCAGGCTGCCACGAGACGGCCAGGCCTGGCCAGCCTCAGCGGCTGCCCGCAGCGGCCCGCAGCAGGCGCCCGCGCGCGGCGGCCTGCTGCCCAGGGATGGGCGGATCCTGCGCAGGTAGTGACGTGGGCACTGCGCTCCCCGTCTTCCTCCTCCTTCCTCGTCGTCTTCCTCCTCCTCCCTCCTCGTCCGTCGCTTCTGTGCGCTCGGGGCACTCTACCTCTGGGCCCTCCGTCCGTCCGTCCTCCTCATCCGCCGCTACGTTACAGGACCGCGGCTCGGGGGACCGGGTCGAGCAGGGTGCGCGGGAGGGAACCTTGGACACATGTTGCGCGTATTCCCGCCAACGGGGGGTACAGGTATGGAAGCGAGGAAACGCAAACATGTATCAAGGCGGGTGGGTTAGCCACGGGTCCCGCTTCCGCGCAAAATCGGCGCGTTCCGTCACCAAATCAGGCGGCATTGTCCCCACGTTTCGGGGGGCACCTTCCCCGATCAGTGGACGTGGGATATAGCGCCGGGGCCCACGCGCCAAATCCAAGGATCTGCAATCCATTTTTAATTGCTCTCGAGGAAGAAAAAGATGACCGAAGAAGGCGTTCAGAGTGTTTTCTGAGGCTCTGGGGGGGGGGGCGAAGGGAGGGGAAGGCGGGTTCCACGTATGTTCCTCCTCTTCCTCTTCTTCCTCCTCCTCCTCCTCCGCTTCCTCCTCCTTTTCTTTTTTCCGTACGCTTGTCAACATACATATATCCTCCCTGTCGCACCCCCATGCGTGTGGGTAGGGCGGGCCGCGCTTTTCGCGTCACACATCTCCGCCATTCCAGCTTTTGGAATTTGAAATTTGCAACCGCTCCACGGACGTGGGGCAGGTGGTGTTCAAAACGTGGCTCTCGCATTTGTGCTGCGCAGTCGTTTTAAGCAACCAGTTCACGGATGGAGGTCGGGTGGTTTTCATCATGTGGTTGTCGCTCTACCGTGCCGCGCACATTCGTCTTACACGTTCGCAACAACTCGAGGCTCGAGAACGATTGGTTTCCAACACGTAGCTCTCGCATTATCACCTCGCACGTTGGTCTTCAACGGTTGGCATGGAGGGCGGCTCTTTTTTGCATGCGACTCCCGACTCAGCGCCGCGCGCATTCTTTCCAAACAGTTGCACCCCTTTCAACTGCTCGTATGGCTAAAGTCCCAGAGATGATGCCTTGGCGCGATTTTCGACTGTCGAAACACAGCAGTATTATGATGTGTGGTGTTGAAATTCCAGGACTGCTGTTCTGGCACGATTGAGCATCATCAGTTTGCAACCATCAGGATGATCCGTGGCGTTGAAGTCCAAGGACTTGCGGTTTGGCGCTATTGAGGATTCTCAGAACGATTTCTTCTGATGGGCCACGTCCCGCAGTGATCCGCAGGGGAACACGTTCTCGTAGGGACCTGTGAAGAGGGAACTTGGAGGGAAGGTCAACTGCAACGTCGATAATGCGTCTTGCGCTTGCTCTGGTCCTCTTTTTGCTCCTCTCCTCCTCCTTCTCCTCCTCCTCCTGCTCCTCCTCCTCCTCCGCTTTCTTCCCTACGCTCTCCTCCTCCTTCACGTCTGCCAGCCCTCTACTATCCGTTGCGGGGATTCATCCATATCCACCGCCTAGCGGGCCAATTTTTGGAGACCTTTGTTGCCAGTGGGCATGGACATATTCGGGTCCCAGGGGGCCACAACAGATCCATATGTCCCTCGGGTCCCAGGACGTCGGTTACACAGGCGGTATATGTGGATGAGTCCATCCCTCGCATACCCGCGCCTCCTCACCCTCCCTCTCGTCGCCATCGTCGTCCTCTTTCTCAGCCCGCAGGAGTTCGTGCAGTGCTCCAAGCAGTTTCACGTCGCCCCCCATCGCCAGATCCTGCAGTGGAGCTTCGACCAGCGGATGGTCCACAACACCAAGCTGGAGTTCCGAGCCCTGGTGGCCTTCGCGCTGGACGCTGGAGGGCACCAGCTACGCACCTACCGATCTTCGTCAGGCCGAGCCTGGGCCCAGGATCGGTGTATATGCCTCGCTGCCCATGCCAGGAAGGCGTACTCACCGATCCTGGGCCCAGGTTCAGGGCCGATGCAGAGGCGAAGCGGGAGCGAGACTGCTACTCCCCAGACATCTCCTGGGGCGCGTCCTGACCAGCACTTCGAGGCGAGCCCAGCCGTGCCGATGAGGGCCTCCCAGGAGCCCCAAGAACGCACGAGAGCTAGGAAGGCCTCCTCCTCCTCCTCCTCCTCCTCCTCCTCCTCCTCCTCCTCGACGCCGGTTTCCTGCCCCCCACCCCGAGGACGGGGTGCCGCACCACGCGGCGGGCGCGTGGCACGCGTCCAAGAAGCTCGCCCAGCGCGACGCCGCCGAGCGCGCCCTCGGCTTCTTCGTCACCGCCTGGGCCGAGGCCCTGCTCGCGGAGGAGCCTGCGCGGGCCGCGGCGGAGCCCGCCTCCGGCCCCCCCCGCGGCGGCGCGGGCCTCGCCGGCGAGGGGGCTCCCGAGGAGCCCGCGGAGGAGCACGAGTCTTGGCATCGCTCGGACGTGTGCATTTTTCCTTCGGCGAGGGCCATCGAGGAGCATCCTTGATCATTTCGCGAAAAAAACCACGCACGAAACCGAACAAAAACACAGGAAATGGACGTCCGAGCGATGGCCAGGAGTCGAGGAAGCGTGAGCCCAGAGATCCGGGGTGCCGAAGAGCACGGGGGCGGCCGGTTGTGGGCCGGGGTGGGCTTCGCAGGGCCCGCGACGGGCCCCAGGGCCGTCAGAGAGCGCCTCGAGACGAGGAGGCGGCCCTGGGGAAGCGGTCCAGGCCTCTGGGGCCCAGGAATCGGAAAAGCTGGAGCGGGCGAACGTTTGGGAACATGGATTATTTCGGTAGCAAGTCATGGGAGCCTGGTGTACCCTTTCAATTCCGTCTTTAGCGTCGGTTAGCGTCGATTAGCGTCTGGGGGTCGATGAGAGAATGCCGAGTTAGCGTCAGTTAGCGTCGGTTAGCGTCGATTCAGCGTCGATTAGCGTCGACTAGAGTCGATTAGCGTCGATTCGCAAGAGCCGACAAGATGGTATGGGAGGCTCCCATGAGTTGCCGCCGAAGATTATGACACGTGGTTGAGCTGCGGGGTCACGTTTCCTCACGCAATCGGCGAGATCCGTCGCCAGATGGCGGCACTGGCCTCACCTTTCAAGGCTACCTTTCCCGATCCGTGGATCTGGCGCCCACGCGCCAGATCCGCGGATCCCAAACCCATGTTGGCGTGCGCCCGAACAAAGAGAGGTGCCGACACCGTTACGGTAGACTCGCGTCGTGTCGACCGGCGGCGACCCCGCCGCCGGTGTCGCCGCCGGCGAGCCAGAATCGGTCGATATTGAACGATCTGACGTTTCGGAAACTGCCGATCGTTCAAGGTTGAGGCATCCCCGCCGTGTCGGAACCTGTCGTGCCGTGATATTTTTTTCGCTTGGGCCTCCCAGGAGGCCGAAAAAGGCCAACGCGAGGGAAGGGCAACGGTATCGGTACTTCTTTGTTTCCCAGAGGAGTGCAAGGTCTTGGAGGACTTCTGCGGCCGCATCCCCGTGTGCGGCGGGCCCGCGGCGAGGCCGCGGTGGAGCGTCAGCTGGGACGGCGGCAACTGCCGCGCGACCGTGGAGATCGAGGTCCTCGGGGTGGTCCACAAGTTCGCTGGCGCCTGGCGCGACGCACAGGCGCCGGCGCAGGCGGACGCTGCGCGTCGGGTGCTGTGGTATCTTGGCTGCCCTGGATTTGGCAGTCTCTTCGAGCTGGACCAGGACGGTCCCGCCATGGCCGGCAGGGACATACCGCTGCCGCCGCCCAACTGGGCCACCGACGACTCCGAGAACCGCGCCATTCATAATGCTGAGCGGAGGACGATCGTGATGCGACTGCAGAACCGCTTACAGCAGGCACTCGCGGGGCAGCTGCGACCAGGACAGGGCGTGTGGGAGTGGACCTACGAGACAGACGGTCACGATTCCAAGCAGCCGCCGCTCTGCCGTGCAGCGGTATGCATTCCTGCCGTCGGCAGAATTTTCACAGGCTCTTGGGAGAGCAGCCAACGCGAAGCACAGATCGCCACGAGCCAGCAGGTAGCTGCTTTCTTGGATGCCTGGGAGGACCACGTGGACCGCGATGGTGCGTCTGTGTCAGCAGGGCCCCCCGCTTGATGCTGGCCGATTCTTGACCCAGCACATCCCATCCCTTGCCCTGTGAAGGCCTTACGGCCGGTGCCGCCGACCCTGAAGGCGGGCCCTCCCCCGGGACCCCCGCTGGCGACCCCCCCGGAGGGGGCATCCCCTTTGTCTACAGGGGGGAGGCGGAGGGAGGGGTCCTCTAGTTCTCCCTGCTCACAGGGGGAACCACATTTCCCGCTTGTGCACAAGAGGGGGAGAGGGGAGGGGGGGGGGGAAGGGGAGGGGCCTTGAGCTCCCCCTGTCCACAAGGGGGACCCCCCCCCCTTTCCCCCCTGTCCAAGGGGGGGGGGGGGGGGGGGGGGGCATTGAATTCCCGTCCCCACTGGGAGGACCGCCCCTTGCCCCCTCCTGTTCACAGGGGTGGCCGGGGGGTGGGGCAATCTGACCCCGGACCTCCCCCCGTACAGCCCCCCGTACCTCCCCCTCGCGTCTGGGAGGGGAAGAACGGGAGTGACTCGAGTTAGCTGTGACGCTTTTACTGCTCAGTTCGTTCTTCAACTTCCTTGGGGCTGGCGACGACGCCGAAGACGAAGACGAAGACGAAGACGAAGACGAAGACGAAGACGAAGACGACGACGAAGACGACGACAACGTCGCACACGCCGAAGGGTCGGCGGATTTGCCCACGGACCGCGCATTCCAGAGATGCTTCTTGCACTGTGAGGTACAGCACGCACGCCCAGAATGCAACATCGATCTTCATGTACAGCTACGTCGCCTTCGTGCGAGCACAGACCGCACGACTGTTTGCAAAGATATTGTAAACCTATCCGTTACTGTGCTGGAAACGGTTGCTTTGGGCGCGGATCGGCTTGTCAGTGTTTGCTCTCCCCCATCACACCGTTCCGTCATCATCAGCAGCTTTCTCACTTTGCCCCGCTGTCGTCATATCCATTGTCTCTCTGAGGATAATTTCCACTGTCATCCCACGGATGGTGACTTTTGCGGTGCCCACAGCGTCACCCTATGGGGAGGATGAGGCGAAGAAGGATGAGGAACAGAAACGGATGTGCGAAGTGGATGAGATACGAATGAGGAAGGTTAACGGAAGGAGGAGGCGGATGAGGGGGGAAGGAGGGGAGGAGGAGGAGAAGGAGAAGGAGGAGCGAAGAGGAACAAATCCTGATGAGGGGCAGGAGAGGAAGAAAAAGAGGCGCAGGGGAAGGAGCATGTGGAGGACCATTCGTGGAGGAGACGGCGGAGGAGGACGAGCAGGGCGCTGGAGGGGGTGGAGGGGGGGGGCGCCTGGGGCCGGCGGCCCCCGCCGGTGGCGAGAAGCTCCTGTGTGTGTGTGTGTTGCCCGTCGGGTGCTCCGCCGGAGGGGGATGAAGGGGAGGAGGAGGAGGAGGAGGAGGAGGAGGAGGAGGAGGAGGAGGAGGAGGAGGAGGAGGAGGAGGAGGGGCGTTAGACGAAGTACCACTTTGGGCTCGGGGGTTCGGCCGCTCCCGACGGAGAGCCAATTGCTTGGCCACGGCTCGCCGTTCCCCCAAAAAGCGCCTGCGCCTTGGAAAGCCCGGACGAGGCGTACGGACAGGGCAATAGTCAGAGCGTGAATTGCCTACCCCGCTTTCGCTTCCAGGCAAAACCAAGTCGTACCACGCGCCGCCTCGTCGAGCGGCCCGACCAGTGCAGGCCGTATTTTGGCATCGATTGGCATCTCTTGGAAGCGAGGGTGGTCAGAAGCGAGGCAGGTTTGTTTACCCCCTGGTTAGACGAAGTACCATGTTGGGCTCGGGGGTTCGGCCGCTCCCGACGGAGAGCCTGTTCTTGGCCACGGCTCGCCGTGCCCCCCAAAAAGCGTCTGCGGTCCCTGCTGTTTGCAGTGCTCCGTGCGGTCGCGTGGTGATTCTCCTCCTCCTCCTCCTCCTCCTCCTCCTCCTCCTCCTCCTCCTCCTCCTCCTCCTCTCCCTCCTCCTCCTCCTCCCCCTCCTCCTCCCCCCCTCCTCCTCCTCCTCCTCCTCCTCCTCCTCCTCCTCCTCCTCCTCCTCCTCCTTGGGTGGAGGAGAGCGGAAGGGGGAAAGGACGAGGAGGGCGATACGATGCAGCAGGAGGAGGTCGAGGAAGATGAGGGCAAGGCCCTGTGAGGACCAGGGGGATCTGGACGAGGAGGGGTCGGGACAGACGGAGGAGGATGAGGAGGAGGAGGAGGAGGAGGAGGCGCAGAGCATTGACAAGCATGACAGGGTGTGTGTGTGTGGAGCAGGAAAGCGAGGAGAAGTATAATGTATGAGCGTGAGGGCGTGAAGGACGATGGAAAGGATGATGATGGTGATGATTGTGACGATGGTCATGATGGTGATGAGGATGAAGATGAGGATGCTGATGATGATGCTGCTGATGATGCTGATGATGGTGATGCTGATCATGATGGTGGTGATGATAAAGATGAGTATGATGATGGTGATAATGGTGATGATAGTGGTGATGTTGATGACGACGACGATGATGATTGTACTATGTTTGTTGTTAACAAGAAGGAGGAGGAGGAGGAGGAGGACCAGTTTAAACCCAAGGGTCATCAACGATGTTGGAATAAGCCCTCCCTCCAAGGTCCCTCTTCATAGGCTCCTACGGCGGTTCATCTCCACTGAGGGAACTGCCTCGTCGGAAGACAACCGTTTGAATATTCTGAAGCATGCCAAAACATTGTTCCCGGGATTCCAACACCACGGATCAACCTGACTGTTGCGTCTTGACGAGTCTGAATCGTGCCAGAGCGCCATTCTTGGGACGTTAGCACCGCGAACCAACGTAACTGTAGCACCCGCATGCTCCGGAATCTCTCCAACACTCGATTGCCGGTACGTTGATCATGGGAGTCCGGGAAATTGTTGTGAGTTTTATAAACGAAGGTGCGAGGCGTTCAGGCGAGAGCCACATATTGAAAAGGAACCGCCCTCAAGCCGTGAAGCTCTTGCAAATGTGTAAAACGAATTTGCGTGGCGCTCCGGCGAGAGCCACATTGAAAAGGAACCGCCCTCCATACGTGACGCTCCTGCAATGTTTAAAATGACAGTGCGCGGTGTTAAGGCGAGAGCCACATTTTGAAAAGGAGCCGCCCTCAATCCGGGAAGCTCTTGCGTGCTTTTCGCAAAAATGTGCGCGGCGATAAGGCGAGAGCCACATTTTGAAAACCACCCTCCCTCCATCTGCGAAGCTGTTGCCAAGTTTTAAGCTTCAGGGTTATCACTGGTGCGGATGTCTCAGGCGTAACGCCCGGCCCGCACGAACAAAAAAGCCTCGAGGTGCGACAGGGAGAAGTTATTTTTATTATGAAAAGAATTGTACGAAGAGGAGGTGGAGGAGGAGGAGAAGCAGGAGGTCGATGAGGATGAAGGCCGCGGGAGGGCGGAAAAGGCGTCGCCCACTGCGCCGAGCGCGTGACGAGAGCGCTGTCGGCGCCCGGCGATCTGCTCGAGAAGGCCCAGCGCGCCAGAGGCGACCCTCCCGCCGACGCCGTGGGCGGCGGCGACGACGACGGCCCAGATCTTTGGCTTTGGTTAAATCGGGCGGGTCCCTCTACAGGAGGAAAATTCAAAAATAGTAAAAAAAACGTCTGGGACGATGTTTTGACTATCTTTGACTATGTTTGAGTTTATTGTGACTAGTTTTCTATTTGGCGTCCCAAATCCGCAGGGGGACACGCCCGACCTAAGGCTGGGCCGGAGAGCTACCAAACCCGATTGCGAGGATGTCTCGCCAAAGCCGGGCAGCATTCCCCACCCCGACCTGCCCCGACCTGCCTCTCCCCATCCTGGGGAGGGGCGCCGGCTGGGCGTTGGAGCGCTCTTCTGCTCCCGTGTCTGACGTTGTGATTTTCGTCGAGCTGGGCGTCTGTCATCGACTTCGGCGTCCAGGGCCCGTCCAGCGGGCCCGGGGGCCCCCGGGAGCGGGATCCGTGGGAAGGGGGGTCGGGCAGACTTGGGGCAGCGGGTTGCAGAAGGCGTCTCTCTCAGGCGAGGTCCGGGAAGGTGCTGGGAAGCCCTCGCGCAGCCTTGTCTGGGGAGGTGTTGGGAGGCGTTGGGAGGCGAGGTCTGGGGAGGTGTTGGGAGGCGAGGGTCTGGGGAGGTGCGGGACTGGGGAGGTGTTGGGAGGCGAGGTCTGGGGAGGTGTTGGGCGCTGGGATCACCGGGGGCACTCGCCCTCGCGAGGCCCGCCTCGGGCTCTCAGGGGCCCGCGGGCCCGCTTCGGGCCGCTCCTCGGGTCCGCGTCGGAGTGCCCAGTCGTGGCCGGGCCCGCCGTGGCCAGAGGAGCCCTTCTGGTGGCGCGGTGGCTGCAGGCTCCCCGCGGTCCTCGAGGACCTCGCGAGGGTCCTGCGTCCGTGCGCGGCGGCGAATAGGATGAGGAGGCGGCGAATAGGAGGAGGAGGAGGAGGAGGAGGAGGAGGAGGAGGAGGAGGAGGAGCAGTTCAGGAGCAGGAGCAGGAGCAGGAGCAGGAGCAGGAGCAGGAGCAGGAGCAGGAGCAGGGGCAGGAGCAGGAGCAGGAGCAGGAGCGGGAGGAGAAGTATGAGGACGAGTAGCCTACCCCCCCTCGGGACCCAGAGTGCCGAGGCCGGAAGCGGAAGCGGATGAGCAGGAGCAGAATGAAGAGGATTGGGATGGTATCTCTTCCCCCTCTTCGCTCTCCGGCTCGGTTTGTCTTTCTTCTAGCTATACTCGCCTTCATGGCTTCGTCGGCGTAATATTATTCCTGGTTCTCCTTCCCCACGTGTCTCCGCCTCCTCGACCGCTCTACGTCGTCGTACCCCTCCTCTCCCTCCTCGTTCGCCTCGTCCCTGTTCTCATTATCGTTCTCCCGGTCATCGTCGTCCCTCTTCCTCCCCGGCTTCCTCCCCGTCTCGCAGAACGGAGTGCCACCGCACCCGCCGCAGATCGAGATTCGACCTCGCCATCCCTGGGGGGCTGCGGTCTGCGAAAGTGTCGCCACTTTCGAGGGCTGCTGGGGGGCGCAGCATAGTGGGCACCCGCTGCTG